CAAACATAAGGTCAACATATGGAGTGGACAAAGATTGGCAAGGAGACCCATGTACTCCTGAAGGCTACATGTGGGAAGGTCTAAATTGTACCTTCAACGGTTCCCCCAGAATTATATCCTTGTAAGTTTAAGCAGGTCTTTCTTGTTTTAGAAACCAACGATTTTTATCGTAACTTCGTTAATTAACAAAATTATCGAACTTTTATTTAGGGACCTGTCCTCGAGTGGATTGACCGGGGAGATAATTTCATATATATCTGACCTTGCCGTGTTACAATCTTTGTAAGTATCACATCATCACAAGCCCAATGGTTCATATATTTCTCATAATGGGTACTAAAAGTGTGAATCTTTCTTAACTCAGGGATTTATCAAACAACAGCTTAACTGGATCAATACCTGAATTTCTGTCTAAAATGCCAAACCTGAAAGTCCTGTAAGTACCTTCGATTGGAATAGTTACTCCAAATTCCATGGTTAAGTAGAAAATGAGGTGATCAATAACTTTGCTCTTCCTTTGCAGTAACTTAGAAAGAAACAAGCTCAACGGTTCAGTTCCAGCCAACCTCATTGAAAGATCGAAAAGTGGTTCGCTATCATTGAGGTTTGTTTCTGGTCAAAACCATTTTTCTAGTATATTGCCTTAACATTTCCTTTTCCTCTTCTTTTCATTACAATTTTCATTTCTTTGATAAACGCTGTGATACCGACTGTATATTCATCAACCTTGTCAATGCTAGTGTTGGAGAAAATGCAGACCTATGTGCAGAAAATTCATGCAAAAAAGAGGAGACAAAGAAAAAGAAGAAGAAGAACATAATTGTTCCAATAGTAACAGCAATTGGTGGATTTTTTATTCTTGTGGTACTTGTAGTGTCTATATTCATGTGGCTAAAAAGAGGAAGGAAACAAGAAGGTAAATCCAGAATATATGTTCTGAAGTAAATAGAACGAACACATGTTCTGATGCTTATGAAACTTTTGATGATCTATTTAAACAGTTGTAACAGCAGTTTCACATCAACCCAACAATCAAGTTGATTCATTGGAGTCCAAAAAACGACAGTTTACATACTTGGACGTCCTGCAGATTACAAACAACTTTCAGACAATTATTGGCAGAGGTGGATTCGGAAAAGTTTACCATGGTTTTGTCGATGATACTCAAGTAGCTGTAAAGATGCTTTCTCCAACATCAGGTCAAGGATACCAACAGTTTCAAGCAGAGGCATGTCCCAAGAACCGATACAGAAACTTTAATGAACTAATTTCTACGAACAAAATATGACTTTAAATCTTAAATTGCAGGTCAAACTTCTAATCAGAGTTCATCACAGAAACTTGACAAGTCTTGTGGGATACTGCAACGAAGGTACCAACATGGCGCTCATCTATGAATTTATGGCCAACGGAAATTTGGACTCGCATCTTCTAGGTATGGTAGAAACTTGACAATGCAAACACATTGAAGTTTGAAATTTTATCTAGTTTTATTGAAACATTTAACCAATATAAAATGGTTATTTTCAATACTATTGTACAGGTGAGAATAATAATGCAAATGTTTTGACTTGGGAAGGTAGACTCCAAATAGCAACAGATGCAGCACAAGGTTACCCAGTAAACTTGGGCAAAATCCAAAATTCCAAACTTATTCAACGCTTTCCTATTTTGTTTCCCGTAACAAATTAAAGAGTGAATTTGAAATGTAGGATTGGAGTACCTTCACAATGGTTGCAAGCCACCCATAGTCCACAGAGATGTGAAGACAACAAATATTTTGCTAGCCGAAAATTTCCAAGCAAAATTAGCTGATTTTGGTCTGTCCAGAATTTTCCCAACTGATGGAGGCACTCATATGTCTACTGCTGTAGCTGGAACCCCGGGATACCTTGATCCCGAGTAAGTCTCTATTTCATTTTGTCAATATCGATTTTCATACTCTAGTTTTTTCTGATTGCAGCCCTCCCTTTGTTTTTACGCTTTGATTATTCTCCTTTTGTTCACTCACAAAAAATAAGAGGAGCGAATAGATATGATAAAATGGGCGTGTACACCTTGTATGCACGCTTTCTAAATGGTACACTGGAGTAACATTGGTCTGGATTTGCAGGTACCACACAACAGGTTGGCTCAATGAGAAGAGTGATGTTTATAGCTTCGGAGTTGTTCTGTTGGAGATCATCACTTGCCGCCCTGCGATATCCAAAACACAGGAGAAGGTTCATGTAAGTCAATGGGTTAGCTCCATGCTTGCTAGAGGGGATATCAAAACTATTCTAGATCCGAGATTACGTGGAGATTATGAAATCAACTCTGCCTGGAAGGCTGTTGAACTAGCAATGAATTGTGTGTCGAATACATCCAACAAAAGGCCAAACATGAGTGAGGTAGTCAGAGGGCTTAAGGATTGTTTGGAAGTTGAGTTGGCTCGAACGAATGTCAACCGTGTGACTGAATCAACAGATTCAGTTGTTTACTCTATGAATGTGACTACGGAACTTAGTCCTTTGGCAAGGTAGTTCTTTGTTCAGAAGATGAATTTCCCAATGCTTTTGTATTTCAATCTTTTTTAGTTTATCTTGTATTGAAGCTTGCAACTACTTAATTGTAAAAACATCAATTACCAGAGTTTGTATGTGCAACTTGACATAACATCATGAGTTGGCTCTCATTTCCTTTTTCAATTAAGAGATGACTTTTATAAACCCTAGAATTTTGCAATTTGGATGAACCAAGTTCTCGCCACTTGGTCAAGATTGAATAGTTTTGGAGCAAACTCCGTAATCACGGATAATCTGCGTAGTTACTTTTATCAAACTCGAAGATACGTTGATCGATAACTATGAACAGAAAATGGTAAGGCAATCTAAATCCGAAAGCTACATTGAGCCTATTTCCCCTGTTAATCTCCTCGAGGACATTCTTGGAAGGTTGCATAATTTTCAGTGACAAAGTTCAGTAAATTGTAAAGTTATGGTGAGGGGCAGATTATAATAAATAACTGAGTGACCAGTGGTCTGTGTCAGTTGACAGTTTGTATACGACAATTCCGATCCTGCAAAACCTGACTAGTGAATGTCATAAATTATGATTTCGTGAAGAGATACAAGGATATTATTCTTGGCTGTGGATCATTTTCACGATTGCTACAATTTATACCTTCCCACGAGTAAATTTGAGGGGCGCATGGATCTCCTTGCCAATTTTTTATTTTATTTTATTTTCAGGAGCAAGTCTCTTCACCCCCCCCCCCCCCCCCCCCCTTTTTCTCTAATTTTTTGAATATTTTCATGAAAATATCCACTGTATCGAAGACATTTTAAACATAATTCAGAACGACCACATATGTAAGGTTACATTAACAGTTTGCAAGTCATGTTACGTATATCAACCACCGCTTAACCGTGCACGTGGAAAATATGAAATTTGTTATCGCTTATTTTATGGACACATATGACCCTTAACGACCTCTAACCATTTTTCTTGATTTTGTTTTTCAATGAGGTTGGGCCTATGTTGTGATCATACTCGCTAAATTTCAAGGCACAAGAACGTGCATCATAACTAGTGGACACTCCCGCTTCTCATATTAAGTTATTGCCTTGCACACCCGTATAAAAATAATGGGAATTTTTTTTTCAAATTTCACAAATTTCTGCAATTGGAACCTTGAAACAAAAATTGGAACATACCCAGTATTCTAGCATGTCAAAATTAAAGTTTTTTCCACAATTCATAGCCCCCAACATGAAACGCAAACCCTAATTGAACTTCTAAGTATTAATTCGTCATACAAACAACCCATATATTCCCTAAATCATTGATATATGAACTTGGAATTAAACACGTTACCTTACTATGCCTGCCGAAGCTTCAGTCGCCGGAAAAAATGGAACTTTCCAACCAAAACAAAAAATATGGTACAAACAACCTATCTTTAAGGATGGAACAATTTGTTGTGTTTGATTATGGAATAATAACACACATAGCTCACATATCTGAGCTCGACTTCACTCTTCTCACCTCTCTCTGGACATCCTTGTGATCAAAATCAAAGCTCTGATCTCAACCCAAAACCTAGATCTCACTCTTCTCACCTCTCTCTCGACTTCCCTCTCTTCAAAATCAAAGCTCACACATCTGAGCTAAACCCAAAAGCCCACAGCTTTCTTGCTCGACATCCCCAACTTCGAAATCAGAAAAATGACACAATGAGCTGTGAGTTTTACAATTTGTGTGGGTATTTTCGTCATTTCACTTTGTGCATAAAGTGTGCATGCCCGATTTTCCTATTTTGGTCCCAAGAACAAAAAAATGGTCCATTTATGTCATTCTCCTTATTTTTTTGTGTGCAAGTTCTGTTTTGTTTCTTCTCATATTTACTTCCCGTGTTTGGTTTGCAATCTTAGATAAGCAAATAAGTTTGTCAAGGGATATACAGTCAGCAATCCTTTATTAGTCCGCAATAAAATGTCAAATACTGGATCATGATCTGTTATAAAATATAGTTTTATTCAAGATGGGACATGGTTTCCAAGAAGAGGAAGCCCGTGTTCAGCTTTCTATATACAAATGATCATTATTTTTCCTTCACCGTGACATGAAGCCAGGTATGTATATGTATACATATTTGCTGTATCATGGTGACCCTTCCTGGGACTGAATTTCAATTGGTGTAGCACAACAATCGCAACAAGAGCCTTGTGGTGCCGGTGCGCAGCATACACAAGCTGGACATATAGGAGTTGTATCTGAAAAGCAAACCAAATACAGAATCAACATTTCATACACGTGCAGATGTGCTTATGTTGGTTATCTAAGTTTGAATCTCCATTTTCGTAAATACAAATAGGTGCAGAGATATGAAATAATATAGGTGATGTGAATTACCTAGAAAAACGAATCGAGCTGCCTCTGGGGTTGAAATTGGAGAAAGTACGACGGCAAAGATGAAGATGGTCACCAAAGCAGACCTCATAGAGCCACCTGCCATTAGTTCTATGTTATTAGAAAACAATAACAAACTTGTTGGGATGAGGTATATATGTAGGTTGGAGCGCGTTGTTTGAATAGGAAGGTTGATTTTTCTTCTCAGTTTATGGAATTAGACTTTGATGCAGCGCTTGTATGTTGACGTTCTAGAATTTCAATAAAGTATACCCCATTAATTAATTAATTAATTCTAGGATATTATTCGTGGATTATCAAACATAAGATTTTGATTAGCCAAACCCTAGGACTTAGAATCTCTGGAGAGACTAGAATGTTTAATCATTAATCAGTTACCAACTCAATATAGCACTAATTTGTGTTTGGGCTCACTTCACAATATTTTATCATGACCAAAACCATTAATGTTTTAGATCTTCATTCAAAGGTCACCATTACCATCCAAATCTATCAAAATAGGATAAATTAGTCCAGGTTTTAATCCGTTTAAGGGAATGTGATATCACTTGTAATTAATTCCTACCACATAGGGGTTTTCTCTAAACTCTATATATTGTAAACTTTGTACATAATTAATTCAAGGAGTCATATTTCTACAAAGTCGGAAGTAATTAGTCATTTGATTATTGTCATGAACATTTCATGTGTTTTTTGCAACACTGTGTCACAATTGGATATTGAAAATGTTCAGCAGTGTTGAAGCGCTAATCAGTTTTGAATCTATTTTTGGGTATTTGGTAGATTTTTTCAATGGTTTTTCTGGGTTTCTCTTATAGTTTTTGAAATTACGGAGCATTTGATGAGTATGAAGGGATAGAAGTTGCTTTAATTAAACTAGGTCAAGCTCTATGATCTCCTGCAGTGCCCTGAAGATCTTGAGAGGCTCTACTAAATCCACCTCCTCAACACATCGAATTACAGAAACATCATGAAGTTCTACCCTTCCTCGGTTGATACTGCCAACAGAAACATCAATTTTGTCACTGACATGTTCACCTTTGGGACTTAAGCAGTATGTATTTTGTGAGTTTTTTTAATAAAATTTTTATGATTTTGTCACTGACATGTTCACCTCGCTCACTGGGTTACTATAATAATTGCTTCATAAATTATCATACTTGAATCTAATATGAGTGCCCCTACGCAAATTTTGTTGGTCTGTCAAGTTGATTGAAATAAGGGAAAACTATTTACTTAGAAGGTTATTATGTGTTTAGATTTCAATTCAATTTTATTGGAGTGGGGACACCAGAGTTCATGGCTGCTGAAGTATGTGAAGAGGGAAACGAAGAAGATGAAGAAGGAAGCAGTAAAACTCAGTTGGGTCCTCAATGCACTCTTAAAGAATTGTGCTCAAATGTGGCAAAATGTTGCTTCTTTTTACATCATTTAATTTTCTTTATGTCATTTTTATTTGCTGCACCGTTGGTTGACTTTGTTATTTCAGGATGGTGGAGACTTAGAGAGTTTGAGGGGGATGGAGCAGCTTCTTATGACTTTGAACCTTGACTTGTCAACAATTCAGGGCTGCAAGAGTTGACCAAGAGAAAAGAACTCAATTACGCTAAGCCTGTAAGCTTGTATTGACGAAGAGCGTACATGACCTCATCCTGTATGAAATACTTCCACCTACGAAGTACGGATACGGGAGCGGGAGTAGAGATTTGGAGGCAATTCCGATTTAGAGCATGAAAATTCAAAAAATCCCGATTTGGAAGCGGCGGGGATTCATCTATTAAAAAAATATAACATATAATTAATATACAAAATTGTACACATAGTATTAAGTGTTTTGTTTTTGTTTGAACGAATAATATTGTCTACACTAAGAGATATGAGATGAGCTAACTCTCACAACAGGCTAGCAATAATGTGATTCAAATTAGCCTTTAAAGAGAATCGAACCTAAGATCAGTCACTTACAAGTGAAGAGAAATACCACTAAACCGTGGTACTAAATAGCTTAAGTTTTGGTTTAACAAGATTGACAAAACCCAAGACCAAATATGCGGACTTGAAAGCACCCAACTTTCTACAGGAGATGTGTGGTGTCATTGGGCTGGCTGCAGGTTAGAGCCCATCTCAAAAGCCTATATCATAGCCCTTACTGGGCTAGAGAACCAAAAACTAAATTAGGCCCAATTTCAGTGGGCTGATTATGGATCGGTCTGTACAATCCAGCGAGGTTGGTCATGTGCCACCCGTCAGAAAAACTGACAGAGTTGTAGGTAGCCGGAGAAAAGCTATTGACGGCACTCTGCGATGGTCATAGATCGAGGCCATTTTCGTGAAGTCTCGAAGGACAAGACGACAAGATATGCATTTCAAAGGGTCAGAGACGACGGGGGATCTAAGAAGATAGTCGTAATAGTGTGGACACCCATGATCCGTCGAAGAGGGAAGGGAGACAGCATCAAAATGACGTGTCGTTCTGCAATTTAGGCAACGGCTTGGCTTGGCGCGAGTGCGAGCTAGGGTTTCAAAATCCCATTTTTCTTTCTTTTCCTTGCTTACTCATACATATTCAATTCACATAATATAATAATATTAGAATATGCATGCACAATTTATGTAGAATCTATAATTCGTAAAACATAATATTGGGTCATGTATTATGGTAAAGGTTCATGCAATTAGGGCTAAAAAAATATCAAGATAAAACCCGCTATTTTATAAGAATCTAAATTGTGTGATGAATATTGTGAACGGTTTTGAAGGAGTTCTTCCTCCATATTTCGTATTTCTATCTTCAAGGCATGTTGTATCTCGTTTCAACATAAAAAAATATATATATTGAATCAATAAAAGTATACAAATTTAATAAAATCAAAAGTTAATCAAATAAGAATAATTGAAACATAATGCTCCCCTGATTGAAGATGAACAAATTCTCTATAGTGCGATGCCAAGAGCATGCTGATAACGTGTTATGACCTATTTTAGAAAATGGAGGGAAAAGGTGCATGCCACAGAGAGAAAGAGAGACGAGAAAATGGTTGAGGAATTCTATGTGTTATTCCCCAATCTTTGTGCCTTTATTTATAATAAACCAAGGAGGATTTCTTGCTTTGCAAGTAATACAATCTTAAAAGGAAAAAATCTTCTAGTATTCTAAATACAATGATTTACACAATCAATAATTTGCTAGAAGTAAATTCATAACAAATACCATTTATTCTCAATTGCCAATTGCATAGATTTAAGTCGAATAACCTAGTAATCTGGAACTTTACTAGATCTCTAGTTCTTTGACTTTGCTGCATATAAAATTTGAAGAATTATTTTTTGCCAAAATTTTTTTGTGGTCCCTATGGTGAGACCCTAATTTTGAATGAACCCCTGTGGTGAAAAAGTTGGTAATCATAGCCTTCTAGGTCAAGTACATTAGCAATGTCAATTTCATCATTATTTTGTTACGTCTCTGTAAAGATGTAGGGACAAAACTGTATTTCCATCCAATTTGTTGTCTCAACCAATTATATATTGCCACATGGATAAATAAATTTTATTTTTTATTTATTTTTTAGAACTGAAGGAAAATAATATCTCAAATTCTCATAATCCCATCTTCCCTGTCCCATCTACTGGTTCTCAAGGAAGGAAATAGAATGATAGTCATGGAAGGTGTTCTTCAGAATTAACCTACCTTGCCCCAAGAACCATTGTAACCGATAACGATGGAGAGAGCATGTGGTGTTCACACTTACAATAGATGAAGGAAACAAAAGCCATGTTGAGAACCAGGTTTGAAATGAAAGACCTAGGAGAGCCTCACTATGTTCTAGGAACAAATATTGTCAGAGGTAGACAGAGGAAGCTTCTTGGTTTATCTCAAAAGGGTTACATTGAAAGAGTGCCTAACAGGTTTAACATGGAAAGCTGCAATAAGGCTAATGTTTGTGAACAAAGGTGATAAGTTCTCTCGAGATCAATATCCAAGAGTGAACATAAGGCTGAGTTAATGAAGATGAAACCTTATGATTCTTTACTTGACATTCTCATGTATGCAAACATATGAACCAGACCTGAATTGGCTTATATTGTTAGATTACTGGGAAGATTTTAGTCAAATCCTGGAGAATCTCATTGGATTGCTGCAAAGAAGGTGTTGAGGTACTTCCAGAGGACAAAAGAATTTATGTTAGTATATGGCAAAAAGGAAGATTGGTTAGAAGTTATTGGTTATACAAATTCAAATCTTGCTAGAGATATGGATGAAAGAAAGTCAACTGGAGGCTAAATTTTTGTGTTAATGGAGGTGTCATTTCATGGAAAAGTGTTAAGCAAGTTGTAATGTCAACTTCTACCATGGAAGCTAAGTTTGTGACATGTTTTGAACGAATGAAGCAAGCAATTTAGCTCGGGAACTTTATAACATATTTTGACAATCCTACAACAGTATTTTTCTCAAAGAATAACAAAGAGGACATCAACTTCTGGATGTGAAGTTTCTCTAAGTTAGTGAAGTGGTCAAGAAAGGAGAAAATGAGATTCAGTTCTTGTCAAAACAAATTTGATGATAGCATACCCTCTCACTAAGGCACTGCCAAATAATGTGTGTAAAAAACCATGTTACTCAAATGGGAGTTTTGGAGACTTTTGACAAGTGGGGGCAGGCTGATTATTAAAGCTTAAGAATTATTATTGATTCTTCATTGTTTAGCATTGTTGTTGAAGCTGCAGATCTAAAAGCTAATTTAGTTTGTTGGTTTTTGGTTAAGCTAGATTTCTTTTCTTAGTTAGTTTTTCTAGTTGTTTTATCTTAGTTTTCAATAAGGAATCAATTTTTCATTTTTGTGATCAATTGTTTCAGAAGACAAATTCAATTTATAATAGATATTTTGCTAGGAAATCATTTTGTGATTTTGTTGAAGCATATTTTTTGGACTATTTCATATACTGTTCTGGTTTGAATCATTTTTTGTTAATGAGTTTTAGCATTAACTGGTATCTTGACTTTTTTGCATTGAGATTGACTTGAATAAGTGGGAGCATTGTATTTTGACATTGCTGTGTTTTTACTCACGTAAATATGAAATGCAAATTATACATGTAGTAATTCTTGGGTTAATTTTGAATTGTGCAGAAGAAATTCTTGAGTTCCATGTTTTAAAATGCATAGATAAGTTGTATGTGAAAGTAAGCTTTTGATCATTTAAGACTTGATGATCACTTCCACTTTCTTAAAAGTTGGATATCTTTGTTCATACTTAAGTGGGAGACTGTTAGAGTATAAGTATGAATAAGATACTAGAGCTGACTATGATGCTTAAGTATGATATGGAAATGTCTGTTGTAAAGCTAAAAGTTATCCTAGTTCCTGTAGGATTATAGAATTGAGAGTTATTAGTTATGTTGAATTGGACTCAGAACTAGAACTTTGTTTATACATAATATGATGTTGATTAAGTTGTTCAAGTCCTTTACAAATTCTGATAAGGGATTGATTAAGGCGAGGCTATATATACAATGTCCACTACTCTTGCAGAGATCTACTCCTTTTTGTTCCATAGTCCTATTGATTTTGAAGAGTACTTGTGCTTTGTGAAAGAGCAGAAGGATCATTGTTCAGAAGCTGTCATGGCATCTTCCTCGATGAAAAGTTATGTAGGTATGTATTCATATGTTTTCGTTTGAGATGCTAATATGTTGGTTATGGTTGTATTAGTAATTCAACGAACATAATTTGGTTCTAAGGTTGTGTTGTTGATGTAGTTCTTACATTGCCAACATTTCTTTTGATACCAAATTGTGTGAGAATCAAAGTCTAACTGCACCGCTTTCCTATGGAAAGTAAATAAATAATAAGAAGAAGGACATGTTTGTGGTTCTAGTAATAGTAGCAGTTCAGTTATTGGAATTTTAATTCTTTCATCAACTGTAGTTGTTGTTTGGCAGCGTTTGAAACCAAAAAGAAAACATGGTAGAATAACATATAAAAATTTCAGCCGAACATGCATATAGCTATGCATAAACAAAAAATTCTTTGTCCAAAAATATACTGTTATTTACTTTTATTAGTGGTCTCCACAAATGTTACTGATTCAATGCCCATCTCACAGTCAGAGCCATTGGGGCTATCTCAACGTCAATTTACATATTCCGAGGTACTCAAGATCACTAACAATTTTGAGAAGATTGTTGGTAGAGGTGGATTTGGATTAGTTCACCATGGCTACATAGGTGATGCTCAAGTAGCTGTGAAGATGTTTTCACCATCAGCGATACAAGGATTCAAGAATTTCATTCAGAAGTATGTAATAAGTAATAGATAAACTTTTCAACAATTTAGCACAATCATATACTCGTAAATGAAATAAAATAAAATTCATTTTTTCGGGTTATTCTTCTCATGAAAGTTCATCATAAAAACTTGACAAGCCTTGTCAGACAGCGTATGGATGTAACCAATACTAGGCTCATCAATGAATACATGGCCAGTGGAAACTCAGACGAGCATCTTTCAGGTTTCGCTCATAAGCTAGAATTGATCTTCTTCCTCTTCTTTCTTTTTCAATTTTTTGGAGTCAGATTAGTTAACGAAGAAGAATGAAACAACCGTCAAAGCAGCTTTAACAACATTAAGAACAATCTGAACATGCACCAAAAAGAATACAGGAAAATAAATAGTAGGCCATATAAAACAGATGAACAATAAAACAACTACGTTAACTTGCTCTTAACACTTGTAAGTTTTAGCAGCATTCATTAACTTTATCAGAATTTTGCGCTTTCAATCTATGAAATCTATTTCCTCTTTCAAGTTAGATATTGTTGAAGGATGCATCCCACATAAGAAACATGACTGAATAAACAACTTATATTGAATGGTTCCAGTCCTAATTGCATTGAAGTCTATTGAGACAAAAGCGAACACCTGCCAGGTTGTGTAGGCGATTAAGTAGTGGGCAACTCGCCTAACTCTAAAATCTTAACAGATAGCTCTTAACCGTGCGGATTATTTATATCAGCACATAGGTTTCTAAATTAATTAAAATAACAAAGAAAATTGACTGATTCATTATGTACAAATGCAGATAACAGGTCAAATATATTTAGTTGGGTAGATAGACTTCGAACTGCAATTGATGCCGCACCTGCACATGGTGAGCAAGTAAAAATTTTCATACTCCTCCCTCCATAGCATATCTACTTTTATATTGTTAACAAGTGTAATGAAAATTTTCAATGTAGTATTAGAGTATCTGCGCAATATATGCAAACCACCTATAATCCACAGAGATGTAAAATCTACAAATATATTATTGAATGAAAACTCAGATTTTGGTCTATCCATAAATTTTCCTGCTGAGGATGGAACTCGTGTATGGATACATGTTGCGGGCACTCCTAGGTACCTTGTAGGTACTACCAATCAAACATGCTATATGAGAAAAGTGATGTTTATAACTTTGGGGTTGTGCTTTTGGAGATCATCACAAGTTGACCTATCATATCACAGACGCATGAAAAGTTCACACTGTGCAATGGGTTAGTTTCATGGTTGGCAAAAAGGACATCAAAAGTATCGTTAATTCAAGGCTGAAAGGAAACTTTGATAGAAACTTTGTCTGGAAAGCTGTTGAAAAACCTTTGGCTTGTGTATCTTCCAATTATATCACAAGGCCAAACATGAGTGAGCTAGCTAGTTATAGAGCTGAAGGAGTACTTGACAATGGAGTTGGCTCGAAAAAAAAAAAAAGTTGCCATACTGATTCAGAAGATTCAATGGAAATGATGTCATTAAAATTCACCACCGAGGTGAGTCCCTTAGCTAGGTAGTTGTACTACTCTATCAAATTACCTGGGAGTGAAAAATTTCATCTTGTGTGCTAAACGTATAAATTTCAACTCTCTGGTTGTTGTATACAATAAGTACGAGTAAATGGTGCACACCAGAATCAATTGATGAACCATGTTAGTGTATTTAGGACTTTACAATTTGAATTTGAATGATTCTTAGCTACTAAAAATCAAAGAGAATGTGATCTCCAGGTTGCAAAGAATAGGTTGAACAAGAAAGATAAGGGGGAGGGAGAAAGAGAGAGAAAGAGAGAGAGAGAGAGAGAGAGAGAGAGAGAGAGAGAGAGAGAAAGAGAGAGAGAGAGAGAAAGAGAAAGAGAGAGCAAAACCAAAGACGTCTCTGTGAATCTACGTTGGATTCCTTCATTCCGCTACAACAACATGCGAAGAGTGTGTGAGCAAATATAGTCATTGCTAGCTCACACCTCAACTAGAAAACTAGGCACATAAGTTACACATGTGCAGCTTAAGCACATCACAAGATTAGACAGGTGGCACAATAATAATATACACCATTTAGATGTTTTAGTCATGGTCATCCATTACAAACAAGTACAATTTAATGCTTAAGAATATTTCTAAAACTATAAACCAGGAACTAAGTTCTTGCAAACTTCAAGCCTTCAATCCTACATCTCAACACTTCTTTCCAAGCTCGTTATTGCTTTCACTCTTAGCATTTCTCTGAGCATGTAAAACATGTCCTTAGGCAAAGCCATATGTTTACCAATTGTTCCTCAAATTTGCAGTAAACCAAGTTGATGATGTTTGATTAGTCAGTCCTAACATACATGTCATGTAAAAATCCATAAGTTGCAATATGCAAAATAATCTTTGACATGAGGCATCATAGTTGTCTAATGGTTAAGTCCTTGATCTTTGACTATGTCAATGGCATTCCATTGAGAGTGTTCATGGCATTGTTGTGGTCAAGCTATCTAGTCATATAGGCATGTGAATACACAACAAGGGATCTCTAACCTTCCGTGGTGGAAGGAGAGTACTTTGAGATATGATTCAAGAGTCTTTGGCCAAAGCATATGAATATGACTAAAGAAGAATGTTCCAAACCATATTCAGTAGAATCATATAGAGAAGTGTCACATTGGATAATAGACATGAAACAAACTATTAGTTAAACAAAGTTATTAAGAGCATTGTATTAGAGAATGACCGTGTTGCATTGTAGTTGTAACTGGATAGGTTCTCCAACCACTTCTACTTAGCTTGGATAGTCATGACATACTGTCAGGTGTCACTCATAGTTTGTGGAAGTCCTGAAGATTAGCAAACATTAATCTTCATCAAAGGGAGAACTGAAATGTGGCTTTAATTCACAATCAATCTTAAAGAGTAACAATCGCCTACTACCTTGCCAATTCAAACCTAATGGTTTATACACTCAGTAAGGTGAATGTGAAGAAATATAAATGAGTGAATGTGAAGAAATATAAATGAGATGGATAAGCAATTAAATAGTTTAATTGTCCGTGGTCAAGATTAATCAGTTAGTTAATTAATTGTACGAAAGGTTCATATTTGGGCTTTTAAGTTACTTTCAGGTTTCGAGGCCCAAAAGAGTTTTAAACCAAAAGGCTCATTGGTTTTAAGTTGTGTAACAACTAAAACCTAATTAGAAATTAATCCAAAATTAAAAACGGATGCCAACCTATGCAAAGGAGAGTGAGATGGTGGACACTTGTGAGGTGGTATAAAAGCATCTTTATAGCCGTTCCCTCGCTAAGTTTTCTTTAAGGAAAAATAGCAAAACAAATTCTCTCTCTGTTTTCTAAAGAGGCCGGCCACACTAGGGAGATACTAGCTAGCAATCTTACTTCTCCCTATTCATACATCTTCTCTTCACACCTCATCCTTGGTGTGGAGACTTAGAGGTTTGCAATCTTACAAACTTTGGAGTTCCTTTCCTTAAATTCTCAAGGAGCAAAGGAGAAGCAAAGAAGAAACTATCCAAGGAGAGAAGAACACTAACACAAGGAAAGATCTAAGAAGCAAAGGAGGTGACCCTCCACTTAGGTGAATCCCTTGCGTAAATAAGGATGAGATGCAAGGGTAAGGAAACTCAAACTCTTTCTTCTCTTTAATTTGTTAAAGAGTTTTATGGTTCACCGTTCACTAGACTTTGAAAGTCATGGGTTTTAGAATTATTTTTAATGCATGCCTAGTTTAAGTGTTATATGTATGCTTATGTGTTAAAATATTCTCACATGTTCTTAGTGAGGACAAAAATTTTCCTTCAATATTGAGCCACTACACCCTCTAGAACTCACCACATTTCCAAAGGTAGAATTAAGTCTACTAAAGTGCCTTGGTGCCAATTGGGTAAACGGGTGTGCATCTTGGCCAAAAGAAAAAGAGTCAAAGCAAGCAATTGCATGTTATTCATCCCAATTTTCCCTTGTATGCCTCTCCATTCATTTCACATTAATGGTTGTGCCCTAAGTAAGCACGAAATCGCTTGCTAACTTACTTTGGGGTGGCTTTATATCACAACCCCAGGAACCATGTTTCAAGACTTACAAAGTCAAAAGACACTATGCAAACACCCAAACACTCGTGCTTTTCATCAAGTTCAAGGAGAATCAACAAGCATAACAAACATGTGGCAATTCATCCACAATAAAGCTGAACACCACCCATCGTGTCAAACTTCTTGTTGGTCTTGTTTCGTTCAAGATCAAGCCTCGACGGCCTTCAAACAAACTTCCAACCCAATTCAATGCAAAGGGACTTCAAAGCACAGTGGGTAAAGTACATTCACTATGTAGAGGAACTTCAAAACACACATTTTACACATGACGAGCACACGTATACGCTGCATCTTGAAGTAAGGGCATTTGTAGCCATCAAATTTTCAATGAAATAAATGTTCACCAACATATTAAATTTTTTTACTCGCAAAAGGTTTACATGGCATACATCATAGGTCTCGCCAAATTATACATATATCATGTGACTCATCAAAACTAGACGAGTCATTAAGAGTGACATATGTTGACATCTAAGACATCTGTCAAAAAAATCAAATCAAGTACAAATGGGACAAGATAACCCTAATTTGATCAAACATATCAATTAAGGTTTGATTTCTAGTCAAAAGTCTAACCCACAAATTATAGGATTTAGAGGTGTTTCAAACCAAGCCAATTCTTTGCATACAAATACTAGACACTCATTCACAAGTGAGATGGGGAAAAAGAAGGAAGTATCTCCTCACACACATCCTACACTCAGATATCCACACATTTACCAGACACTTAAACACTCTACACAGTTAGAAGACTTAGGAAGCTCTCTGCATTCTTCGCCATGGTTGTTATCACAAGTGGTCCCTGAAATTGACACATACCATCAAGATGGTCCCTAAAAATGAAAATCAATCAATGGAGTGCTTGAATATGGATGTCACAAATGAATGTAGTCCTTCCGTTAGAATTCCATCAAAATTTCTGCTAGTATGGTGATGTGGCATATATGTGAACCCACAAGTCTATTAAATATTGCCACATGGATGAATTATTAAAACTATAAAAATCTAATTTAAAACTAATTTCAAAATGATTAAATAAAAAATTATTTGGTTCCTCCATTGTCACGAGCCAAACTCTTGCAATGTTCATTGGTTTGAGAACAAGTCACTACAACTCTCGAATCAATATCTCCCATACACTCTACAACCCAAGATAAAATCAAAGGATTACCAATTTGTATCCGAGTTTGTAACCCTAAACTTTCATTAGAATAAAAAATTATTTTGTGCGCGTATTTTTTTAAGAGAAAAAAATTTGGACCATTTCACAATTTATGCATGTCATCCTTGCGCATAGGCTATGCTAATCTTCTCTATATTGTTCCAATTTTATCGAATATCTTGTTTGAAAAAAAAAATGCATGTCACAACTAATTAATGAAAGTCAACATCTCTCCCACTTTTGTGAAAGTTTACAAAATGTCAGATTAAACAGATTTTCCACAGGCAAATTTGTTATTCTGGGACTATAAAAAGTAAAAGCCAGAGCCAGGGATCTAGGTTCCTTTGAGAATGTCAAAAAGTCTAAGACCATCTCCAAAGGAAATGTCAAATTATAAGAGTCAAATTATAATTGATGGCTGATGCGGCAATTTAAAATCTTATGTCAAATTTTATACTTCTCGAACTGAATTGTGAAATGTTATTTTCTTATTTAAATAGAGCTTTTAAATGGTTGTAATTATTAAAAGAAATGTTGAAACAAAATTTTTGTTGCTTCAAATATTAGTGGAATAATAGACCCACTATTAAAATGAATTAAAAGTAAATTTGACATTGATGTCAAAATTGACTCCAAGTCACAAAGGTTTCAAGTCCAGTCACTAAATAACACTTCGGTTGAATAGACTTTTAATATTAAATATGCACAATGACATTCCACCTAAGATTTTACTAAGATGCTCTAAATTTAGCAAAAATTCTCCAGCCATATATCATCTTTGTTTATCCAATCAAAACAAACTTTTCTAATCCCTTACAAGACGAAGCCAACTGAGATCCACAAATCATGCATATTCATGTAACAATGCATTATCGCCTTTTTATTTTTTCATAAGAAAAAACAAATTACAAGGAAAAGCCACGACAGCAGCATTGATTACAGGAGTCAAACTGCCAGGCATACAAGGCTTCATGAGACAAAGCATTAAACCAAACTTGCAAATCGTTCTTGTCACGACCTCTAGCTGCAATTGCGTAGTATGTCGAAACTGAATAACGTCAAAACAGCTAATAAGAAGGATGTTTTGAGGGATAGCTTTGATGTGCCAAAGAACTACGTACACACTTGCCCATATGGAGTCGATAATAATTTTAGAGTCACCTTCCTTTCTCATTTCAATTTTTTTCTCTTCCTTCTGGCCAAATTCACATCACCCCATTATCACCAAGAATATCATCATTCAGAATTTGTGTAGCTTTAAATGTAATTAGAGTTTAATTCGCAAAAAAAAAAAAAAAAAAAAAAAAGGGCTAATCGCCCAAAAACATACTAATTATAGAGGGAAAAAATCCTTGGTGTATATTTTGTGAATAGAAGACATTTTTTTTTCAATAAGATCGGTAAGTGAGATTCACTATCTCCAACAGACCTCAGGTGCATCAAGGGCACACCAATGTTCTCTATATAACGAAAAATAAGTTACAATCACTTTATAAGCTTGCCTGGTTTTAGATTTTTAAATTAATGTTCGTGTGTTATTTTATTTTGTAAGGTTTTGGTTGATGTCCCCTTGTTTTGTGTTTGCTTTTTTATTATTAACTAATAAAATACATTTTTAAAAGGGAACAAGTGTGGGTTTCTTGGGTAAGGGTCCTCTCTCTTTCAAAAGAAAGAGATACCACACCCGAGTCCTTGACTATTGATGAAAAACTAATCTCTCATATTATATTATACAATTAATTTTTATTTTTTTAACAAACGATATTATCTACACTAAAAGGGAGAGGAGGATGGGCTTAGCCTCACAATAAACTAGCAATAACATAGTTTAAATGTTTAGAAAAATAACACTACACCGTAGTACTAATCTCACATATTATATTATACAATTTAATATAAAAAGTTATAATTTACCATGCTGACTATTGATTTTAAGACTTTACGTACAAGCCAAATTAGGTTAAGCCATTTGCAAAGGTTCCAAAACCGTAAAATTCATAACACACATCATTAAGACCAGAATAATGGATCAACATCATCATGAAGAATATCATTAGTTGCATAATCTATCCCTAGGATGAAGTTTCTTGATAAAAGGAAGGCTTTATGCAAATTAATTAACAAACCCACCTGTCCAAAAGCAAAGTAGTACAACATGTGCTAAGCAATGAGGTTGGGGTGATTTTCTAGGGCACGCTTTGGGTTGAATCAAGGAGACAGGACCACTGACTAGGATTCACAATTCTTAAGAGAATGTCCCTTGCATTGGTTAGCCAAACACTGACATTAAAAAGAAATACCTATATACAAAGATCTCCAAGAAAGCTAAGCTTCAAGTACACAAAACACATTAAACAATTATACAACAATAGCTTAAAGTGATAAATCGCTTTCTAGCCCTTGATCTTAATCATAGGGGTTATAATTGCAAATCCTTTTTGTATAAAAGCAAATCATGTGCAGCTACACTATTTCCACTCGTTGTTTTGCTACTTCCACTATATTATTATCTTAATATTCCTTCACTAAAACATGACACATTTGGATAGTGGAAGCAGCAAAAATAGTACTGGATAAAAATTCATTTCCAAGGCTTGTACTTGTGAAGCTCCTGGGTGGTGGATGTTATGACAGCACGGAATGAGCCTTAATAACTCAGGATACATATAATGATGATGAAGAGAATGATTTGGATCTTGGATACAAAATTTACTACTTTAAATTTCCTTTTGGGTAATACAATAGGGTTTTGGAGGTTAATCATTGACGATGAAATGAAAGGATCATGATGAAAATGATTAAAGGACTAAGGACATAGAGCTAGGGCTTTTTTCATGGTTTGTGATTAGTTTTTCAACCGTGTGGTTGGTGGATATGGTTAGGGTTTTGGAGTGGAACATGATTATGGGTTTGCATGGGAAAAGAGGGGTTGAAAGAGAAAGCAAAGGTTGTTGTAGGAATATTAGAATTACTCATGGACTCAATTTTTTGGCCTAAGTTTTCGAGTGCCTTGACCTGTGACCTCAAGAACTTGAGATAATTTGCAGCCTCATCAAGCATTGATGCAGTGTCCATCTTGTTTCCACCAGGAACCAGCCTTTGCAAAACTCTAATTCTCTCACTGATCCTCTCCCTCCTTTGCCTTGCAGCCACAGTTTGTGGATCAGATGATATTTTCACATTCTTCCTCTTTGGCCTCTCCACCAGCTCCAGCCCCAAGTTCACAGGCCTGAAAGCCGCAGCGCGATAAATCATCTCTTTCATCTGCGCAATGACCTCTGGATCGGGTTCTTCAATAGAGGAAATTGACACGGATGAAGTTGGTTGTTGAAAGCTGATGTTGGATGAGCTTGGACGCTTATTATCTGATCTGGGTTTCTTCGTTTTTGATGGGTTGTCAGAGATGAGCCTGAAACCCCCTTCACTAATAGAAGAATAATCTGTTTGAAGAAGACCAAAGTGACTATAATTTGCTCCGTGCAATTTGGGCTCACTTTGATCATGGCTTCTCTTTGTGGAATTTGGCTTACCTTGGCTTTGGACATATAAATCTGATGAACTTTGAGAGACTACTGTTTCATTGTTCTCAGACTCTCCGGAAGAGATTGCACTATTATTTCCTGCTCCAAAGTTCCGTAAGTTTCTTCTACAATCCGAAAAAAGCGTAGAAAGTCCATCGTCATCTTCTACAGATGTGTCGGTGTTGCTATTAGTGGCTGAGAGCAAACAATCCAAGGAATCAACGGAGTGCATCGTTACTGGCTTAGCCTTGACATGATGATCTTGCATGCTTTGAATATTGGCTTGCGGTTGTACATATTTCCCAAGATTGCCACAATGATCAGCAGCCATGAAAGTACTAGTGCTTAGTGAGCTCATCAAATTATAAGTCATGTTGACCTTCAAAGGGGCTTGACACAATTCATCAGCTCTCAAAGTTGACATAACATGCACTGATTCCAAACCACACGGATTTTTCTGATGAGCAATTTGATGACAGCCAATACTGCTCGGTTTTTCGGTATTTGAATTCATAATCGCATGCGATGTTTGCACCTTCGGAAGCCCTTGGATTGGAATGAAGGCACTGGAACTTGAGTTAGACACCAACAATTCTTCAAGGTCATGTACTTGATTGCTCCATAATAAGGTTGATGTGTTTGTGATGTGTGAGCCGTCGTCCCAATCCAAACCGTCCATTGATTGCAAACCTACAGTAATAGTTTTGTAGATTCTGTTCAGAAAGGGTACAAATGTGATGTAATAATACTTGAAAAAAATGTCTATATGACATAATCAATTAATATATTGATGATGCATGTATAGTATACAAATCTCTATATTTCAGCCCATAATAATGTTATTGGCATTCGAAAAATGTCATTCTATACCACTTTTTTGTAAAACTTTTTCCTTGTGTTTATCAAAGAAATTTCATGATGACACACCAGTACCAAATCCAGCTGCCAACCAATATTAGAATATCAAAGGAGGAGCCAAAAAAACCAGGAAATGAGTTGCTTTAGTGACTTCAAGCTTTCTTTCTCAACAGAACCAAAATCAAACCTCAGCTTCAGCTTTTGTATTTTGTTAGCAATTTTGTCACTTTCAAAAACTGCATGCCTTCTTTAACTTCGGCTGTATCATCAAAACTGTGATGACCAAGGGAACAAAACAACCACATCTTATGTCAGTTTTGGCAACTTTAAACTGTTCCACCACATAGGAACAACCACAGAGAGAAATTCAAAGAAGAAGCAGCTCAAAATTAAATTCATACATATTCAAATTTAAAAGACAAGTACGTTCTCAAGGAAGAAAAAAAATGAGAGCAAAGAAACATGAAATAAATATATTGGGAAATGAAATGTTGAGGATGAAGGCTTTTCCCTACCTTAATGAGCAGCCATGGAGCACCTATACATATATGTTGATACAGTGTTTTGATAGTTGGTTGTGGCATGCTTAAATAGATATCAGGAAACAAAGGCTAGCTCCAATTATTTAATAAATAAAAAATTATTGGTAATGGTAGTTGAACATGTAGAATATGAGGAAGAGAGAATGTATTAAAATATCATTTTAACTGTTGAAAAGAAGTATAATGAGTTTGGAAAAGATGGAAAGGGATCCTCTCTGGAACCTTTCATCTAAGCCTACTAATTATATAATTTGGACTCTTGAAATTTGATTC